CCCCCCCCCCCCCCCCCCCCCCACTTCCCCTAACCCTGCGACTCCAGCCTCTGTGCACTTGTTGGGGACGAAGGGGGCCGTGCCGGGATGGTCCATGACACGAACCGCCATGTGAGCGCAAAGAAACAGCCCGTTCTGCAAGGTTGCCTTGGCGAAGGTCAGCTCCTCCCATTTGCTTGCTCCCACACGGTCTCTGGCCTGCATGCACTGCAAGAGAAGCAAGTAGTAGCCTGTGCAGCTGAGCTCAAAGAGGCTGGCCGGATCGAAGAGCTTGGCGGCAGTCCACAGACCACTGACGAGGCTGAGTTCGTACGCCATGAAGCACAGGGGGATGGAGTCCCATGTCCTTCCGATGACCCTGGGGTTGAGCATCCATGCCGCTTCCCGGTCAGACTGTTTGTCCATTCCCTGGAAGCTGCTAAGGGGGATTCCGTTAAGCAAAGTGCACGACCTGGCCAGAAACATGTTGTGCAGTGTGGGTGTTCGGCGGCGAATCCTCAAGGCACACACGAAGTTCTTCTGGCAGTGCCATGTGTCATTGTGATCGAACACCGGGTGTGATCCGTACATCAGACTACGAAACGGCCACAACTTCAGATTTCCCCTGGCTGGCGCTGGCTCGCACCTCTCGAAGAACCTCAGAACACATAAACGTGTAGCAGCCAGGAACATCCACTGACAGTTTCAGCATCAGACTTGCAGAAAGAAAATGTACATGTAACATGATCGTGTCAGGCGACGGGACTCCGGCCAATTTATCTTTGGGCTCCATCCCTAGGAAAACCCTGTTGAAGATAGTCTGGGTTCGATGGTTGTCATGACATTGGCAAAGAGGCGGCAATCCCTGATTGCCTTGTGTTGTCGCTGCCCACACCTCCCCTGCCTGCTGGAGGTTCTTCAAGGCCGTCACAGAAGTCAACCTTCTCGGAATCAGCCTGACATCCCAGGCTTGGGCATTCGTGTCGCAGCGGGCAACGACGTAGGAAATGCAAACCTGTGCTAAGTCGCTCCTGCGGAGCTTGGCACAGGCTTCCTTGCTCACCGGGATCTTGGTCTGCTCGGCGCCACCGATGTAGTAGCGCTTCCCGTTCTCGGAAAGAATGGAAAACGAGGGATAGAAGACTGTGTCGTCGAAGGAAATGCGGAGATTGCGGGTGCCCTGGGTGCCACAGAGCTCCACCGCCTGATTGCAGTTGGACTGGAGGGCGGAGATTTGGCCAACTTCGTCTGGTGCCTGGGGATCGGGATCCAAAACAACTGGCAAGCCTGGCATGTCCAGGCAGGTTCGGGCCACCTTTTTGGCATTGAGCCCGAACAGCCGCATGAGACCTGCCCGAGAAGTGATGCTGGCGAGCTGGAATCCTAGCTCTTCCAGGGCCCCAGGATCGACACCCGACACAATGCTGGTCGTCTTCCTCTTGGAGTGAAGCTCGAGCTGAGACAGGCGGTTCAGGATACAGGCCAGCATGGTCTGGCAGCTGGACTCTGCATCAGAGTTCTTGTCCTTCATCGCAGCCACCAGTGGTCCCAGGCAGCCAGGCTCCTCAGACAAGCCCACCAGATAGTCCACGTGACGGCGTAGCCGGGCTGAACCGGAGCCCGGCTGTGTCTTGTCCTGCAACATCATGCTATTAGGCACTCTGGGCAGCCACTCGAACCGGACGGTCACCAACTCCCTGCAAGCCTGATTCTGCCTGTCTGCCGGGACGGATCCTAGCACCCGCTTGTACAGCAGGTGCATCTGCTCGTAGCTCAGCCTCTCCAGTTGTTCGAGGGTCAGGCCGAGGAAGCCGAATGCCATGTCCCTGTAGTCGGCCTCGGCGAAATCCTTGAGGCAGTGCTGCCTGTCAGACACACTGCCACCGACAGAAGCCATCATCAGTCGGGACAAGTCCAGCAGGAACCCCCAGACGGCAACACGTTCCGAGAACTTGGGCCTGTTGGCAAGGTCCTTGCATCGCTCACAACAGGGCCAGTCTGCATCACCACGAGCTTTGAAGGTGAGGCGCTCGGCACAAGACTGTGCACGTATGTAGGGCACACCCTCCTCGGAGACATAGCAAGCATGCCGCACGACGGACTGGCTTGTCCAGGGCTGGCCCGCTTGGAACCACCTGGCCAGGGTGTCGGCAATCCAATGCACGCGGGAGTTGCTGCCTCGGGTCGTAGGTGCGGGGAAGCCACAGCAACGGTCCTCCTTCGCCTCACGGGCTCTGTACCAATGCCCATCTGTCACCTCATGTTGGAGCACCCAATGAATCGTACTCGCACGGTGATACCTGAAGGTGTCTTTGCATAGCAAGCACTCAAGATGCAGAGGCTTCTCGGCGAAGGCGTAGACGCCCTCCCTGCGTTTCTGCAGCCATGCCTCCAGATTCATCCACAGCGCCGGCTGTGTGCCCGGTGCAAGTTTGGGACGGCGTCCTGAGGCCACTATCAACCCAACCACTATCCAACCCCACCCCTGTATCCCCTACCTCCCTGCTGGAGTCCTCGGCGACGTTGTTCCACACCTTCCTCCCGGCGCAGCTGCTCCAGCCGATTCTGGTAGCATGCCTCCAGCTGCGGGTTCCGTTGAGTCTTCTGAGGAGACAAGGGCACCAGACCAGCAGCTGGCAACTCCTCCACCCTCTCGGCCACAATCCTGGAACAAGTCGGACAATCCAAAGAAGCCACATCGCCTTTGGCCAGGGCCCGTTTGAAAAGATGCCAGTGGCTCTTTTCACAATGATACTTGTGAGCGGGAAACCACAGGTCATGGAAGCCGATCCCGCTGTTCGTGCAGATCTGGGCACCCTGCTGCTCCAAGGCCATGTCGTTCCTCTTGAGAGCACGTGCAGCCGCTCGCTCTTCTTTGGTTTGCAGGACTAGAGCATGCTTGCCAGCCGCTGTTATTGCTGCCGCACGAGGAGATCTCGATCGTTCGTCTCTGTCGACAGCAGACTTTGGCGGGGACATGCTCCGGCACCTCTTAACTTTCGCCTTCGGCGTGCATGGAGGAGAGCCTCCTACCAGGACGTCATCAGAGCCGGCACATAAGCTTGCAGGTGCCTCGCGTTTCACGGGAACCCGAGGAGGTGTCTGCGAATCGCGCAGACTGACATCATGCGAGCCGGCAGCCTCACCTGCTGGTGCCTCCTGCTTGAGAGGTGCTCGAGGAGGCGACGGCGTGTCCACCTCGATACAGCCGGCCAAGGCTTGCATATCGCGACCGAGCGATGGGGCGCACTCCGACTTCATACTCAGGAAACTCGAGGATGCTTCTGTGGCAGGAACATGGGCACGGAGGCTGTTCAGGCGTTCGAACGCAGGTGGAGCTTGCTGCACCGGCTGGCGAGGCAGCATCACGGCATACAAATGAGCAGGCAGCTCAGGGAGGTACATGGCCTGGTCCGGGCCACCACGACAAAGCCATTGCAACAGATCCTCACTATGCCTTGTGTGTGCCAAGCAGCCTCCGCAGTGCCCGGGCTGGTCCGGCTGGAGGCTGTGAGTATCCTGAAGAAGACACCATCCCTCTCCGGCGAGGACCGTGAAGCACTTGTCTCTCGACACTACGATGTATGCACAGCGGGATTCGTCCGTGGAAGCTTGGCTGTGTGCCGACAGCAGACACATGGCATGCTTCAGTGTGGAACCTTTCGCTAAGGACAGCAGGCTTGCACTCCCAAGCAACTCTCGCAGCTCGGCAAAGAGATCATCATGTGCCAAGAGGCCACGGTTCACGTGGAAAGCAACCTCGTCCGGGAGCACGTAAGCATCTAGTGCACAGCCGAGCTCGGCAGCTTGTTGCTGCCGGACTGCTTTGCTGTATGCCTCGCTCAGCTCTGCACCAAGCTGAAGCAAGTGTATCAGCAAGACTGGATCCTCTGGATCTTGCTCCAGCCAACTCTTCAGCCAAGTACAAGAAGTATCCCCCCACCATTGCCGAATGAGCTGCAGACAATGAAACGTGCAAGCGGTGGCACATGCCTCGGGCAAATCCTCCGAGTTCTGGCTCACCTCGAAGGCCCAGCAAATGCTGCCGTTGTCCTGGTCAAAGCACAATTAATGTATATTTGGGGGGTTTTCGTGGCAAACCCCCTGTGTTTATACATTTGAGGCTCTCTGGACAGCCCAGCATTGCCTGGAGAATCCACCACAATCTGCACGACCCCCCGGCCGTGCCAGGCGCAATTAATGTATATTTGGGGGGGGCTTGGTGGCAAAGTCCCTGTGCTTATACATTACCCCGGCGTCTTGATTCCGTGTACACCAACCCAAACAAGAGAGAGTCTCTGGTTCTGGAGAATCCACTACAATCTGCAAGACCCTCGGCATTCCCCTTGGCACTCCCCCAGCCGTGCCAGGCGCACGAAATGTATATTTGGGGGTGTGTTGGTGGCAAAGCCCCTGTGCTACATTCCCCACGTGTCTTCATTCCGCGTAAGCCAACCCTAGCATAAACTGTGGGTAACTGTGGGTTTTCGTGGCCAGTACCCTTCCCGGACCTAAGCGTACAGACACTGTACAGACACACTGAGGAGGGGTCACAAGGACAACGCCAAGGGAAGCTGGTCCTCCAAGGGCAGTTTAATGTATACTTGGGGGGGTGTTGGTGGCAAAGCCTCGGTGTTTATACATTCCCCGCCTACCGCGACATCCCAGATTGCCTCAGAGCCGGAGAAACCTTGTCCAGATACTGCCCATACACTGCCCATACTCTGCCCAGTACTAGCCCAGTCCTGCCTCGGGGACCGGGCACAATTAATGTATGTTTGGGGGGGGCTTGGTACCAACCCCCCTGTCCTTATACATTCCCCGCCTCACGTGACGACTACGTGAGGCCTGGCCACTGCCAACACTGCCAACACATATGCTTTTCAGGGCGAGCCACAGAACTCGTTCTGAGAGCTACCTGAGAGCCCCGCCCCGCCCGACAGTCCCCCCGACCCACACCCACCCAGCCACCCAGGAAATGCCGCAACGGTGACCCCTGCATGGAGTTCCTACACGGTCCTGCCAAGCACGCCACTGTTGCCGCCAGATATGCTTCACCACTGGACCGTACCTTGTCTGCACCAAGAAGGCCATAGGATCGTCGTGGATCAGCTCCATCTGCGCTTCACGTGACAAGCCTGGCTCGCATCTAGATGGAGGACACACACACAGGCCGAAGAGTTCCGTATCAGGGAGTCACACTGCAGTCGCACTAGGCCGAAGACGCTACACGTAGCCAGTGCCGAGCCTACTCTGCTGTTGCTTTGTGGCTGCTGGCCTCGGAATGATTCAGCATCGCCACCATGCTGTACCCAAGCGCTTAGCTCCTTCAGGAACACTTCCCAGTACTCCGACTGGTCCTGCCAGTCGAGCCTGCCGGCACCACAGCAAAACGAACACTAGGAGGCACCATGGGATAACTACAGGATCACCGGGACAGGACCATCTCGCCTGTAAAAGCCCAGGTGTTCAAGCGGCAGCTCAGCTTCGACGTTCCGGCGACGGTGCGGCAGCAAGAGTGCTGCAGCTGCCCCTGCTAGGTCTAGGTTCTCGAGGCACTCTGGCAGCCTCCGGCTCTTCGAGTCCTCGACCTCCGGCAGCAACGGGCGAAGCACTGGCGAAGCCCTCTCCCCCAACCCCCCGGAAGCCCGGCTCAGTGGCTACAATCCGAAACCGCGACATCCAAAGCAATCGGCTGCAATGCTGCAGTGTCCTGCCTCGGATTTGGTCATGCCGCCGGGCAGGACGGACGCCTGCGACTGCACCCATGCTATGTACACTCTGTGTACTCGTGCTATGTCATGGCAAGCACCGGCAAGGTATGCTAGGACAACGTGCGGCGTGCCCGCCCCCCCCCCCCTTGCCCCCTTGTAAGGCCTGAACCTGAGTCCCGGCTGAAGCCTAGAGTACTCCTTAGACTCTCCCTAGAGTAAAGACACCAGGATTCTCGGCTGTGGGTGGAGTTCATGCTGCGGCTACCAAACCCGGACTGGCAGGCTCGAACTAGGCTCGATCTACAAAGGGTCCTGGCTCAGTGCAGCCGCAGGCGCGGCTGTAGCCTCGATTTGGACCTGCAAGGGTCCGTTGCAAGGTTGTGCTACTCTTTTGCTACCTGCTGGGTCTGTTAGCTAGCACTACCTAGGACCTAGCACAGTATGAGCTGCACCACATGGCGGCACACATGTCACAGTCGTGGTATTGTACTGTCATGAAGTACAAGACGAAGCTCCATGATGGAAACTGAGTCCCGCCCCCACCCTCACCCCCACCACCACCACCCCACCACCCACTTTG